TTTGACTGGGGAAATTCATACTATATTTTGATGCACGAGACAATTGCTTATGTTCTATCCACATGCCCTGCTTATGTTCTTCTTTCAGCAAAAGAGGGGAGGTTAGTGCTTTTCTTTTCCAGCTTCAAAATTCTGAAATGAAGGATATTCAGATAGATCATTTGTGTAAAATAAACTAGATGGATTTTATTATTTTGGTGAAAACCTGTCGACAATCGTATCTAGATCAAGCTCTATAATTATGTGAATCATGCATATTGTAACAACTGCAGTTGTTTAAAACTGGGTTTTTTTTATATTGTAACAACTGCAGTTGTTTAAAACTGGGTTTTTTTTATATTGTAACAACTGCAGTTGTTTAAAACTGGGTTTTTGTAAGTCAAGACAACAATCCCAATCCCAAAAAAGGATATAGTTGGTTTGACTGAAGACACTTACTAGACCAAAATAACCATATTTTCATTTCATGGCATAATTTACTCATACCTTAGTTTTCTTTCAATATGGTGATTCAATAAGTTCTCAGTCCAAAGGTTCTTTCCATGGTGTTTCAATAAGTTATTACATCAAGTGGTCACCCCAAAGGATCAATGCATGCATTGGCCATAGGTACTTTTATGCTAGAAAAGTATCAACCTCAGTTGATCTGTATTAATGTCCATGATTTACTGAACTTCTTATTAGTGTTCACATCAGGAGTTTATGTTATACCTCAATTGATCATGCTTCCATATCTCTAGCTATACTGTGTGGTTCTCTTATGCTTTGCAAATGAAGTTCTATATCAGTATATTATGGCATGTGACATTCAATTCGTTGAAATCCCTTCTTAGTTCAAACCATTCTAGATAGGTCCTGCCATATGCTCCAATGGGTGTAGTTGGGACAGTTAATATTTCTTTCCCTCTAAAGTAATATTCCTGCTTTGATTTTTTTTTTGCCTTGCACTGCATGTTATTGGAATTTTAGAAGATCAATCCTTTTGGATTGATTTTTTTTTCGCAAATATGATTATGAAGCTTTCATTATAAGTTGACTTCATGCAATGATTTCATTAATCATTTTTTTGTTTTATAGATTCAATGTTTTGTTCCCCTTTTCGCGAGCTGAAAATATTTCTTGAGAATACTTATCAAAGCCTATCTAATATGAAATTTTTGGACATGATGTAGGGGATAGCTTCAGTAGCATCCAGTACCAGCTCATGTGCAAAATTGCTGTGGATGAACGTTATGATGTGATGTTTTTATCAAGCTAAAGCACAACTACATTTCTTTGCAATGCAAGTTCTATTGAAGAGATCCTGTTTGTATATATGTCAGACCACCTTCTAATTACTGGTTTGTAACTGCTTGGTTTCCCTAATATAATCCACTGTACGTATGCACCACTTTTCTGTGGTTGCTATTTTTGTTCAAGTGTACATGATCATATAGATAGTACTCCAAACGAACCGATCAAAATAACTCATATTTGAACTTTGGTAGCATGGTTCGAATGTAATGTTGGCTATATTTATCTTCTGTTGCTTTTATTATGTCAAACCTTCTAATGTCAGCACCGGCACACGCAGCGTAGCGCGTGGCTCTTTCTAGTACTGATCCATATTCGGTTGAGACATATATATATATATATATATATATATATATATATATATATATATATATATATATATACTAGAGGCGCAGAGATCGAGGAAAAAAACAATAGCCCATATATAAATAAAGAAAAAGGGTGACATGGATGATCGAAACCACTGTACTAATTAAGCTAAGTAAGTCGTAATTAAACTGGGCATAATCTGAACGGATATTACTTGACAGACATGCTCGATCAGCTCAACCCAGACAAAAACCTTCAAACATAACCGCGCCGTATATATAGACGTATAGTATATCATATTGTCGTATATATATGCACGTGGTTGCGGTAGCCCTTTATGTTTTTATTAAAAAGAAAAGAAAAAAAGGAAAGGAAGGTAAGAAAAAGGCACAGGTTGGAGTGGAGTAGGAAGGGGAAATTAATACAATAATAATACTGTATACTAGTCAAAAGTAGTCGATCGTAAAGAGTGTAGTAGTGCCCGGCAGTAGGCCGGCCGGCTTGGTGGCCTGAGGCAGGGATGGAAGTATTGTCATGTGTCTCTGTATGCATGTACTCCCTCCGTTTTATAATATAAGATATTTTAATATTTTGCTTATATTGTTTGACCACTCGTTTTATTTAAAAAATTTATGCAAATATAAAAAATAAAAAATCGTGCTTAAAGTACTTTGGATAATACAGTAAGTAAAAAAAATTATATAATAATTCTAAAATTTGTTAAAAGAGACGGGGGAGTATCAGCTAATCTTAGGCCTGCCTTTGGCTATGGGAAGAGACCGGGTACGGTGCATCTGTATTCTGTGCAGTGTGCAGGCAGGATGATGAAGTTGGAGTGAAGACGACAAATGTGCCTGCTGCCTAAATACTCCCTCCGTTTTAAAATGTTTGACACCATTGACTTTTAGCACATGTTTGACCGTTCGTCTTATTCAAAAACTTTTATTAAATATGTAAAATTATATGCCTACATAAAAATATATTTAACAATGACTCAAATGATAGGAAACGAATTAATAATTACTTAAATTTTTTAAATAAGACGAATGGTTAAATATGTGCTAAAAAGTCAACGGCGTTAAACATTTTGAAACGGAGGAGTACCAGTCAGAGGCAGGGGGTAATAAGCTAAGAGATTACAATACCATCCTGAAGCCATCGGCAGAGGTCAAATGTGTGCGAGATAGCTGGCTGCCGCACAGCTCCTCTCCCGTCCGCCGCCACCCTTCTCCCCATCAGGCGTCGCCCTGAAGAAGATGGGAAGAGAGAGGGGAAGAGAGTTGGAGAGTGAGGAGGAAGAAATCATTTCTAGCTGACATGTGGGGCTTGCGAGGTTTTAGGCTGAATCAACTCTCCACGTCGGTCAAAGTGTAATTCAGTTTTCTAAGTTGAGAGGCCCAGAGTGAGCTTATTTAGTGGGAAATTGCAAATCGTGGGCCTGCCCATTGAACAGGGAGCCAGACAAGCAAGGAATTAAAGCCCAAAATGCACATGTACTCTAGACACCGGCCCGCTCACCCCTAGCCAGAATCGACTGGTTTAATTTCTCCGCCGCCGCATCTCCTCCAGAATCCAGATCCTCCCTTAGCTTGAAAGAGCAGAGCAAGCAAACCCTAGAGCAATTAAGTTGTATGTAGAAGAAGAAGCAATACCAGATCCAAGCGCGCGTGGCCAGAGGAATTATATGGAAGCTAGGGTCCTCACTCGCATCGCATCGGTTGGTTGGGTTCGCCGGCCAGATTAGTCTCCGATACGCCGCCTAGCTTGCTTGGGATTAGGCGTTTCACTTTCACTGACCTAGCTTCCAGCTACCTCTATCATGGAGTATTATCGTTCGAAATCAAACGCACACCAAACGCGCCCATGTTTGATTCATTATTAAGCTACTGTAACTATAAATATAGTTCATTAATGAAATCCTCAGTACATGTCCATCTTTTATTTTCCTAATAATTCTCTCGGAGAGTCATGCACATGTCATGCATACGGCCGTTGATTTGTCGAATATCATACATAATGGTCACGCACGGCATGATACTAGCTAATTTGAAGTATAGAGACGACCCGTTGAAAGAACAACAATATATACATACTGTATTTCGGTGTCCAAAAAAACAAAAATTTAAGGGCCCCTTTAAATCGTACGATTAAAAAAATAGAGAAGTAGGAAAACATAGGATTCTGATATATGAATGTAAGTGTAAAACAAAGGATTGCAAAACACGAAAATAACTGTTTGATTGGACTGTAGGAAAAAAAATACAGGAATCAGATGAGAGAGATAGACTTAGAAGAAATTTTCCAAGAGGTTAGAGTGGATGTTAAATTTCCTACGTTTTTCCTCTAGAATTGTAGGAATAAGAAAGTTTCCTTTTTACAGGTAATCTTCAAGGGAACTTATTGGGCACAATAGTGGTCTTTGTTGCTTAAGGAAGAGGATGGCCACAAATTGAATGAATATTGCAAGATGTTGGAGGCAAGGGTCATGGAGTTGTATGCAAAATATGGGTGGAACCTTAGAAGGAGATTGGAGTAGTAGTGTTTCTCTTTTCTCTTTTAAGTGTTGTCACTTTGGTTTTTTTTTTTTATCCTTTTTGTAAGGAATTCGAGTCTAAGTACTCTTGTATAACGTTGGGCTGTATACGTCCATTGTGGATGTAGAGGCCGGATTTTAATCTATTTTCTAAAAAAAAAGAAAGTTTCCTACGTTTTTCCTTTTCTCACTCCTATGAATAAAAACATAAGTAATGTAGGATTTCAATTCATTTGTTTTTCCTCCATTTTTTCTCCAATTCTAATGGGCCCTAAGAAAAGCAACACAGAAATAATCTAGAGAGCGTGTTGCGGATGATCGACTTTGGTTTGAACGCTGGAGTATATAGTTTTCTACTTTTCTTTGTTGCCTGGTCGAGCTGAAGATTTAATATATTAGCCTTTTGTCTTTAGATTAGAAAGAGCACACTTTAATAATTTGTTTACTACTCAAGCTAGTCCTAGGAATAGTTTCTACACACTTTGAGCTTTTGAATATTGCAGCCGCACTTAATTATAAATAAATATAATGGGAAGATATATACTTATCACTTTGCAGTGGACTTGCTGGCTCCCATGGAGCCAGAATAATTCGTAAAGTGGCGGAGACGATAGTTATAAAATAAAAGAGAAAAAGAAAAAGAAGATACGTACTTTTCCCCGTCATTGATGGTTCACATTACCACTATATACCTTGCTTTTATCGGAAACAACCTTTGCTTTCTTTCTGCTTGCATATAAGTTATTAGTATAATAAGTTGATGAAAAGGAAGGGAATTGCGTGTGCGCCGCCACCAGACAATGTGAAGAAAGCAGAGCAGGATAATTAAGCAGGAAGCAAAGAGAATGAGTACTAAATAATACAGTAAGATGAGAATGCAAAGCTGCTTTATTATTGTTCAACCATACAAGAGACATTATTTGAACAGTAGTAGCTGCGGAAGCGGCGAGAGCGTCACCGCTGACGAAGACGCAGACGCAGTAAAAGTGAAGTAAAGGAGGCCACATTTCTTATTATATACTAATTGCAAATAATACTGTAATTACGCGTACTAGGTGTGATCGACGTATTGGAACAGCAGAATGGAGGGGATTGGTTGAAGCTGATTGATGGTAATCACAATAAGATGATGAATTAGAGGGCGAGGAGGAGGGCCGGGAGGTCGGGGCGGCGGCTCTGCCAGAGGCAGCGGGTGGGCGGGAGGCGGGTGACGGTGAGATCGGTGTTGAGGTACTCGCGGAGGTGGGTGATGACCCTATCCCCATTGGGGCCGGGTCCCACGGTCCAAGCGTGCACCCAGTAGCTGTCGTGGTAGCGGCCGGTGATGCCCTCGGCGATGACGACGTCGGAGGCCGGGAGGGCGTGGACGGAGAGCGGGCGGAAGCGGAAGGAGGAAGAGGAGGGCGAGGCGCAGCCGGTGAGGAGGCGCATCATGTGGTGGCTGGCGGGTGGGCCATGGTACCACCACTCGAGGTCCGGGGCGAGGAGGGCGTGCGCGGCGGTGTGGTCTCGGGCGTTGATGGCCTCGTACAGCCGGATCACCAACCACTGGTTCCGCTGCTGCTCCGACTCCAAGTCTTCTTCTTCTTCTTGTCGTTGTTGTTGGTGCAGCAGCAGCTGCTGCGGCTGCTGATCCTGTCGAGACGCCAGCTCCTGCGATGCCAGCCCGGGGATGAACGAGACGACGAGAGTTGCACAACAAGAAACCAAGTGAAGGAGGGAGATTGTGGTTGGGAGGCTCAAAACTCTTCGAGCGACGTGCTTTTATAGAGGAGAGGAGATCGAGTCGACCGCGTCGCGATCCCGATTGGCATTTGCCAGAGGGGAGGGGAGGTGGGGTCGGTTGCGGGTGCGTGCTGACTCATACTGCGGGCCCTCATTGGATTTTTTTTTCCCCCGGAATCGGAAGGCATATGTTGATGCTTACTACTTGTTGACTTGTAAAATGTACACTAGCCGACTAGCGTCAACCATAAACTCACCATCTTCTAACGCATTATTACGCATCACGGAATTAAACATATCTAATATACTGGGTTTATCCGGAGAATCCATCTACTTACTGTATGCAGCACGCACCTCAATTTTTTTCTCCTATAGTACATAGTACATATATCGTCATAAATCTAAGCTATAGTCCTACTACTCAATCAACAACAATGAGCCCCTCACATCAGAAAATCTTGCAGCAGGTGGTACTCGTGCGCAAACGACTTATGACCTGCATTGCATTATTAATCTGAGCTCGTTATTCAGGGGAGGCGCCATTTGGTCCTGCATTGCCCACCCCCATCCATCAATTCAATCACAATCCAGTCACCACCCCTTCGCAAAAAAATAAAACCATCAATTCAATTCAATTCAATGTACTTATGCCTCAACCTCACTACTCCAATAGCAGCTTGTTTGTCCCACTCCCATCCAGCTCAACTCCTGCTCTGCATTGTTCATGGGCCTCATCACACTGACCTGCAATTGCTTCCTGGAAGCTTCCCACTGAATCTGCATTATGCAGAGTTATCTAATGTGTGTGTAGGGGTAATGAATGATGATCGGATTGGAGAGTGAAGACGGAATGATCATACGGCAGTTTGATTTGGATAACATCGATACCTCACCTGGTAATCATACTGGAGTAGGAGTACATAATAGTACTCCGTAGTAATGGAGTTCTAGTACTTACTACTAGGTAGCTAAACGTGTCAGATTTGGACAAGTTAGATTTGTGGTCGGCACAATGGTCAATGGATCAGTGTCTCTACCGAAACACAAGATATGTGGACAAGCTGCATACAGTTACGCGTGTGGTCACAGATACTCCGAACTCATACCCAATTGAGATTCAAAGCCCAAGCCAAGTTTTTCTTCGTGCCACCCCACACGACTCTTATTGCCAACACCAACCCTGTCTCTGTCTCTCTGTTCATGCATTTCTCAGTGTCTGCTACTAATCATTGTACTCGTCGATTGACAGGCCCACCAATACCCCATCATCTGTTGGATTGTTTTCGATCTCCAATGGCAAGCATGCGTGGCAGCTCCAATAATACAACAGTAACATACCAAATCATTGTATCTCCGTGACTTGTCGCGTGATTATGTATGACGTGAAGATCGAAAGCAACACCACCTTGCATTGCATACTTGTAACAGTATACAGATAAGCACGTTAATTAATCCTTCAACGGATGGATCTGGCCGCCGCGGCCGGATCCGTCGCCTCCACGCCGGATGGCAGCCGGTCGGCGGGGCGGCTGCGTGTGAGCTCCGGCAAGCGGCGGCGGCTCGCTGGCGTGAAGTTGGCGGCCAGCCTCCTGTTCGGCTGGCTCGCTCATCGTTGATTGGCGGCAATGTGCGGATGTGGAGTTGGCGGGATGACGGCTTGTGCTGGCGTGAAGCAGGAATGGGGCTTGACGTGGCGTTTCGAGGGTGGCCAAGGGCCCGCCATTGCTGTTGATTACGATCAAGGTATGACTGCTCGTGAGACGTCATGGACTATTCTGCGGCCATCGATGTGGGGGTGCTTGTGTGGGTGATGTGAAGATGCTGGCGAAAGCCTTGCCGTGCTTTTGGCCGGTTCGACAACGACGGCGCCCGTGGGCATCATTTCCCTCCTTGGAGGCGTTGTCTTGTGTTCTTTCATATCCCCACAAATCTCCAGGTGAAAACCTTGTTCCGATTTTCGGACGAGCGGCGGCGGCGTCACGCGTCGTGCCCTCCTTGAGGGCGTCGCTACGGAGAAGTTTCAATGCATCGATGGCTGTTGATGGTTCTTTTCGGTTCAAAAGCTTTCATATCTTGTGTTTGGCGAGGCTTCGCCTTCTTGGGTCCGCTTCATTCTTATGGTGGGCGACACGCTCTTCGGTTGTTTCTGCTAATGAAGTCGAAGCTGCTCGCTGACAGGGTGCGGCGACGCTTGGCAACGATGACATGTTGCAGTCTCTTCCAAGGAGTCCTTGTGCTAGCCGTATGAAGGAAGTGGCTCCTCGCTGGCTTGGCTGATGTCTATTGTTGGACGTCGGAGCCGCTTTTCGCTTTGGCGACTTTCGTCTTCAGTATTGTTGCGGTTGTGAAGTCGGCGCTGCTGAGTCGCTGGGGCGGCTAGCTCGGCAACGATAACCTCTTCTGCGATATGGGAGTTGTTGTGTCGCTTTTGTGTTTAGCTTGGCAGCGATGTCCTGTGATTGGACTCCACAGTTGTTGTTAGTTGTGTAGCGGTGGGTTTGTAATTAACCGTGCAGTTGTATGGTTTTCGGACCCGGTTTTCCTTATAAACTGGGTCAATTCTCTTCTTCTAAATATAAAAGTGGAACAAAGTTCCGCCTTAGGTTTAAAAAAAAATTAATCCTTCAACACGGTACAGTACTGATCACATCACATCGGCAGTTGCATATTGCATACAGTAATACAGATCGATACATGCATGGTAGGCACCTTATTTGCACTGAAATGAAAATACATCACAAACATAGTTACAGTAGTAGCTTAGCTAGTTCGCCCTTGCAAACGCCAGATCAAGAAGCGTCCGGAAAAACTTGTGGGGATAGATGGGTGGTTTCTCCGTCAGTGCCTGTAGTTCGGATAGTAGTAGTATTATAGTACAGGCAAAGATTGCGATTTTACCAAAAGTAAGTACTATTCGAATAGCAAAGAGTGATGTGCTGCTGCCAGGCTTAGTGATTTAGACCTTTTACCTGGTGAATCAGTACAGTGGATGGAGTCATCCCAGGAACAGTGTTTACCTCTATCAGCAGTATCTTCAGGATCAAACGTAAGAACGGTAATTAGTTAGCATCAAAATAAGTCTGCTCTTCGGTTAGTCAAATGAGTGTGCGCATACGAGAGCGCGCGCGCGAGAGAGATTACCTCCCCATTCTGGACATTAACAAATGCGTCTATTCTTGAAAAGCCTTCCAATCCGAGAGTGTTTGCCAAAGTTTCGATACAACTTTTGCACTTCTGCAGGGCTTCCTCGCTACGGATACAGAAAACAAAACCAACTCAAAATGATGAGCTGAATATGGAGCTGCGCCGGCAGCAAATCAAACGAGAGGGAACAGAGGAAAGACGAGTAAGATTCAGGATAATATGAAATTCCAGGGACATGTATCAGACCTCATAATTGTTGAAGGAGGTGGTGTCAAGTTGATTCCAGTTCCACCTGGAAATGGTAACTTAGTTATGCATCACAGAGGAAATTAAAGTAGTACATCATACGAGAGGAAGCCTTCTCCTGGGCTTGTGTGTTGGCGATGTCGGTGTGTGGGTGGTGGTATTTTTTTTCCTTTTTCCAGGTTACGATCCTCCAGGGTTGTAATCTTGTAATTTTTTCCTACTCTATCAATAGAACTTCGCACCGTCTCGTGCAAAAAAAAGTAGTACATCATACGGTGGGAGAAAGCCAGAAAGGTACAGTAGTATTTTATTTCATCTGACAAGGGAAATTGCGAATAGGGAACACTGTTTGGGACTGAAAATTTTGGAGATTGTTCTAATACTAGTCTTCTGTCTACTATCCAGTGTCCACTACCTGTAAATGACTTCGAGGTCTTGATTTGGAATTTGTTTTTTCCTTTTATCACAGGATTAATGCTCAACTCCATCTTTCCCAGTTCAATTTAATTTTATAATGGGGACACAATATATAAGTTGAACACTCACAGCAGTAAGTCCTTATACAGATCATGGACAAGATAATGTTATTTACCTTGAAATTTCTCCTCAAGAGATAAAATGTCACCACTTTCTTTGACTGTGATACTTGGATTTAGTGACAGCATTTCTCCACGTTTGCCAACTACACCAACAGTCACTTCAAGCCATTTATTTTCCCCCTTCCATACCAGATGTCGGGTGCTATCATCCACTGATTTGGTTGAAATGATAATTTCATCGGTTTCAATAAAAGGTTCAAATATCAGTGACTCTGGAGGAGAGACTGGCATCTCAATGACACCATGTGCCTAAGGAGTAAAGCTTAATGTCAAAAAATGCATCTCAGCACCGAATTTCTCAATGGACATAAAGACAGGTTTAATAAGTTATCAAATTTAGTTTTTCGTACCCTAGATAAACAGTTAGCAGGCATGCGCTGTAATTTTCTCTCCAATGCGTTTGCATATACCTCCAAGTCCTTCGGACAACTAAAAATAGTTGGTTTTCATAATGATCCGTGAATGTGGAAGACATGACCAGATATTATATAGTACTAATACAGAAAGCACCAATTAAACGCTCACCACAATCTTGCCACACCAGTTGAGCATCCATCACGAGCAGGTTTCACACAAACCGTTTCAGTTTGTAGTTTTGCTTTCAGGTCATTCCAGATATCGTCAGGAGACGACTTTAGTATCTCTTCTGTTGCTCTCAGATCCTTTGGTATGGTGTGAACTCCATAGCTAGCCAGCTACATAGATAACAGAAAGGGAAAAGGGAAGGCTCATTATTCAACAGCTAGCATTGTGTTGTCAGAAAATGGATCATGAACTTGATCGTATTAACACTATCAAATGCCAGCACACTGCTTTACTAAAAAATAAAAAAATAAATGGTCATGGCAGTCCCTAAACAGAAGATAAAGGTGTTCATACATGGCTAACGGCAAGTGAAGTTGCAACTTTGTCCATGCATGTCCTAGAAGCTATTTGTCCAGGCCCTGTATAAGAAAGAACTTTGATACCATCGTAGTTCATAATCCCAACGACAGGAAACATCTAAATACAGTACAAGCTGCAAAGGAACCTGTGTAAGGAACTCCTGCA